CAGGTGTTCGGCTGTTATGGCTGCCGAAATGGGGAGCTGGTCCCTTCATTATCATTGTTTACTGAAATGAGCCCTTTTATGTTCCTGTTGCAAAAGGTTTTCCAGGCTCACCATTTGCCAGTTGCATTTTAATGGTATTTTGCCTCCTAGAAGTTTTCAGTGCTTTTGTAAGTTCAAAATTGACTACTAGCCTTTTAGCATTATGTTTATGGGTGGGTTTTGGGTTTCCTATCTTGATTTAGAGCTATTTGTTTTCAATTTTGTCCATTTAATGTATTTAATACACTTGTAATTTGCTCATTTTGTGTTTTAAAGGTGGGGTAGGCTTTATCAAATGTCAAGAAAAGCAAGATATAGGTAAACAGGTCATCACCTACCAGATTCCTTAAAATTCCTTAAAATTAAAGATTTTAATTTGTTTCACCCACTACCTAGTGAATGATAACAAGATACAAAACTATGGGTCTTTGTTTTTAATTTTCATGGCTGGGTGGTTGTGACATTTGTGCTCAGGATCCCAAGTTGGAACCAGAAGCTGCTGGAATCTTCACTGGTGATGAAGACGGACAGTAAGAAGTCTCTGGTGTCTGGTATCCAGAGGAGTTTTTCTGTGCCTTACTTTCATTTGAAGAAAAGAGAGGTAGTGAAGTATAGGCTATTATAGCAATGTGTAACAGGGTAGAGCATGAGTAGGGTTCACCTTGTTGAGGTCAAGGCCCTCAGTATATTTAATAATATACACTTATGTATTAATTATATATAATCAGTATATTTCAACCTTTGCACTCCCTTCATATAAGCAGCAATTTCATGAACCAGGGATTTCAACTTTGTTAAAAAAAAAAATGGGAAATTGCTGCTTCTATAGGAAAAAGAATATCACTTTCAACTCCATTCTCTTCTATCTGTAAAGATATATATCAGTGGGCTGGAGAGATGGCTCAGAGGTTAAGAGCACTGACTGAACTTCCAGAGGTCCTGAGTTCAATTCTCAGCAACCACATGGTGGCTCACAACCATCTGTAATGAGATCTGGTGCCCTCTTCTGGTGTGCAGATATACATGGAAGCAGAATGTTGTATACATAATAAATAAAAACTTTTTAAAATATATATATCAGCAGATATACACAAGTAAAAATACCTATATGTAGAGACTCTTGTATTATGGGTAGGTATATGCAGGATGGGTGTATTCTATGTGTAGAGTGGTATATATTCAAATGCACATGATATATTTTCATATTTGTGATATGCTGTGCTCACGTATGGGTAAGCACAAATTTGTATCTGTATGCAGGGTGGGTATGGCTATAACACACACATGTACATGAAAAGGATTGTGAAAGAGTTGGTACTTAAATCTTGAGAAATTAATTAGAGTTGGAAATAACCTGTAAGACAAATATATAGCAAATGGACTATTTTTCCTAGGAGTTTTAAAATGGTTGTTCTTCACTTGAGGTGAGGGAGCAACATATCAAATTAAAGGTTGTCACATTTTTTTTAAGTCTAGGAACCTAACCACGGCCCATTGTTTTCTCCTCCCAAACTTCTATTATCTATTAAGGACATGAGCACAGTCTGTCAGCCTTTCTCAGTGTTGGTCCTTTGTTCAGATGTGGGGCTGAGGCCAAGGGGCTGCATGTTCACTGGCCCAGAGGCTACCCTTTCCCCAGCATCCAGCCACTGTCAGCCTCAAGTGTCCTGGCCCTTCCCCCTGTACATACCTCAAGCGTGCACAGCATTGTTCTCACTAGTTTTATGTCAACTTGACAACAAGCTGGAGTCTTTTAGCACGTAGCATACCTCCACCCGATTGGCCTGTGGACATTCCCTTGATTGATGATTGGTGTGAACCGCTCCAGCTCACTGGCTGAGCAAACCGTGAGGAGCAAGCCCGTAAGCGGGCACTCCTCCTGGCTTCTGCTTTAGTTCCTGCCTCCAGGCCCCTGCCTTGAGTTCCTTCCCTGGCTTGTCTCAGCAACGAAGTACCTCTTGAGAGTTGTAAGATAAAATAAACCATTGCCTCCTTCCGTGGGGTTGCTTTTGGTCATGGTGTTTTATCACAGCATTAGAAACCCTAAGACAAGCATCCCACCCATCACTTCAGCCGGCAAGCATGTCCTGGAGAGGCTGAGCCTCTTGAATGGGCAGTGGAGGGAGCACTAAGGTAAGGGGACAGAGTAAGGCAGCAGGAAGGAGGTGGAGTTGGAGGAGGTATGTCTGAGCCTGGTGTCCAGCCGCTGGTTCCCAGGAACTCTGCCTGTACTTCTCTGACAATCAGAGGCTCCCTGCAGATGGTCCCTGGCATTGTGTACACAGCGGGCTCTGCCTCCTCCGTATAACACATTTTTGGCCTCTGCCAGGATGAGAAATTCACAACGTCCCTACAAGTCAGCACTCTGGGTTTGCTTTACAAGTTATCCAAACAGAGAGCAGCTCCACCTACCATAACTATTTTTACCCGACTGGCACATTCTCTCGCTGTCCCTGGTTCCAGGTCGGCTGCAAGCTCAGCCTGGTGTTCTTCCAGTACTGTATCATGGCGAACTTCTACTGGCTCCTGGTGGAGGGTCTCTACCTGCACACCCTCCTGGTGGCTGTCCTTCCTCCCAGCAGGTGCTTCCTGGCCTACCTTCTGATTGGATGGGGTAAGGGCTTCATACTCCCCATCTTGATTCCCGTCTCATTTCGGCCAAACTGTGCAGGCTTCGCCTCGGCTCAGAACTCTACTCTTGGGGGAGTAGTGTGCTGCACTGAGGGTTCCACTGGTGTCAGCCGAGGACCCGGCTTAAATTGCTGTAGCATTCCGTCTCTATTTGCACCCACCCACCCCCTTTACCTTCAATGAAACTGAGCTGCTGACAAGGAGCTGTCCATTTCCCAGTCAGCTCTTACAGAGAATGAAATCTGGGGAGGAACAGGCTGATGAACACATCTACCTGCTGGCAGGGGTCCAGCCCTTCCCTCCCGGAACAGCATTGGGGGGAGGGGTGGAAGCTTGCATGGCTTGCAGGGGCAAATGCTCAGCCACTTGGGCATCATGGAGCCTGTGAGCTCCCTGTCTTCAGTAGACAGGTGTCAGCCCTCTTGAGATCCTCAACGTTCAGACACATTCATCTTTGCTGCCTAATAAGGTACAAAACCTTCACGTGTTGATGAAGACAAGATGCAAGAGCTTTCCAAGTGGCCCTTTGGTTGCAAATTCTCCTTTGGAAGTTCTGGGCTCTTGAGTACCAGCTCTATGGGAATACTGCTCTCCCTTAATTCGTTTGGGCCGATCTGATGGGGGTCTCTCCACAGGCATCCCCAGTGTGTGCATAGGCGCCTGGACAGCAACCCGCCTCTCTTTAGAAGACACAGGGTGAGTGCTGTGTGTGCATCCACACCCGAAACAAGGCCCGCCAGTGCTGGTTGAATATCTAGGAACTAAAGAAGCTTGCATGATTAGAAACGGGGAAACACTTGCATTTCTAAGCAGCATTTACCACCCTGCAGTTAGAACATCCATGAACAGTCGTGGGCAAGACTCACCACACATTTCAGTACTCAGAAGATGGTCCTTGTGAGTGGTGGGGCTCAAGTCAGGCCTGCAATTTAGCTAAAACTGGGGACAAACCAGGCAGAATGATTGACAGTTTACATAACTCCTTGGTGTCACCAAAAGAGCCAAGCAGGTATGAGCAGGTTTGCTGGAAAAAAAGCAAAACAAACAACAACAATTAAAACATTGAGATCAGGCTACATGGCTGCCTGGATGGCCTCTGTGAGCACCATCTCTTTTGAGAACTTTGAGGCCAGGGGTAGTGACATGTGCATTCCTAGTCTAGATGTATTCCCCCAAAAGACCCCGGGGTATCAGCTGTCCACTGAAGAACATAGTGCTCTGTGAGTGGACAGTCTAACCCAATCCACTTCTTGAACCTGTGACTTTGCCCCACCCCAGCGGTTTTTCCTCAGCTGGGTTAGCTGGCCCAGTCACCCTTGGGTAAATGGGACCGACAGCTGAGACAGTGTCAGGTAGAAGGCTCTCCATGCTCTGTGGGTTCCTGAGAGGATGAACGTGAGTTTGAGTTCTCAGAGCCAGTTCAATGGCTCACATCACATTGCCAAACTGGGGCCCAAGGCCGTGGAACTCTGCCCTTGCTGGAACAGTTACCATCCACTGTGGGCTGTAGACACCAAAGCCGGAAGCCTTACATAACCACGTTTCTGCTGCAGATAAACCTTGATGAAAATCAGGCCCCCCTCAACCACTCTCAAGGCATATTTCTAGTTCCTCCTTTAAGACACAGATACAAACAACCAGAGAGAACACGTTTGCAGCATAGAGAAATCCTTCATGACATCAGGTGAAGCAAGAGCCCATGCCTTGAATTAAAATCGCAGCTTAACAACCCTGGAGCTGCACGACGCCCCACCACTCCATTAGCAGACTGTCATGTTGACTCACTGGGGAGGGTTGCTCTGCTCTTTGCACAGAACAGTTAGATCTAGTTCTTGGTGACTGGGCAATCTGAGTCTGATTGACAGATGGAATGAGAGGCCCAGGAAGGGGCAAGGTTGGTTCTGCAAGCTCCTTGTGAGAGGTCGGCCCTCAGCTAAACAGTTCTGCACAGAGCCTGGTTGGTAGCTTCATCCAGTGTGACACCAGTTTCTTTCTCTCTAACAGTTGTTGGGACACAAATGACCAGAGCATCCCGTGGTGGGTCATTCGGATGCCTATTCTAATTTCCATCGCCAGGGCAGTGGGGGGGTGGGGTGGGGTGGGGTGGGGTGGGGGGGTGGAGTCTGTGTGGTGAAGACCAGAATCTAGACACGAAGGAGACTGTAACAGTATGTTGCATGTCTCCAGCTGCTCAGATAACCACAACTTTATGCAGTAGTGTCCTTAATGCCCGTATGAGCTCTTCTTTGGTACAGTGGCCCAACCTAATCCTGTACATAGGTTGTCAGGGATAAGATTGAAGGCACCCCGAGATGAGGCCATCCTTTGTTGTCTCTTCGCAGGTCAACTTTGCCCTCTTCATCAGCATTATAAGGATCTTACTTCAGAAGCTAACCTCCCCAGATGTCGGTGGCAACGATCAGTCACAGTACAAGTGAGTATCTGCCAGTCCAGAATGGAAAACATAACACCGAAGTACACGGAGAGGAGAACCCAGTGCTGGGCTGCAGAAGGTCCATGGGGTGCCTAGGTGGTGTGAGGCACAGCTTACACTGACACTAGAATCTGGCAGCCCAGCACTCAGAGAGGCCAAGAAGCCACACTGGTGTGATGATGGTGCTAGAAAATAAAAATAAAAAATAAAAAAATGGGAACCTTCTCTGAAGTGTGACAGCAATCTAGAGCCTTGTAAAGAGGGTGTCCCTTCAATGTGTATCCTGGCTCTGATATCACAGCTTGTCATCTCCCTTTGACCACACATTAATCTTCTTATTGTCTGTCTTCCCTACCAGACCCTGGGGCTGAGCTGCACAACCATGGCTGGCACCTTGTGCCTTAGTAATTATCTAACAAGCTGTGTGCCGTGTGAAGGGCAGAGGTCAGGAATGTCCCCAGCTAATTTATGAGTATCAAAAGAATCCATTAATCATTTGTAATGCACAAAGAAAACATAGAATCCCCAAACCCACCCCACCTCACCCCCACCCCAGCTCAGGTATGATGTGAAATTGATAAGTTCAGTGCCGATGTATTTGGTGCAGCTCAGGAGCCTCGGCTTATATGAGGTTGTACTGGCTAAGAGCTGCATCTCCCTGGCCATGTCCCAGGCAGTTGGAAGTGACCTACTGCATCCAGGTTCCTTCCTATCCCCACCCCACCCACCAAAAAAAAAAAAAAAAAAAAATGCAACATCCACATGGATGCTGAGCCAGCAGTATGGCTGAGCAGCAAGGGACAGTCCCTATATTCTGTCTCCTCCCCTGCAAAACAGAATGGACATTTGGCTGTTTGGTTCGAGAGACAATTACATTAATCCTTGAAAGACATTCAGTGCCTAGCAGAGGATAAGCAAGAAGGGGTGTGGTGGGCATTTAAGTCTTAGTTGTGCCATGCCGTGAGCAGAATACGAGGACTACGTTTCTACTTGTGGAAGAAACGGTCTACACATAACACCAGGTGTAGGCTGCCCCCCGGGGTGCCTGATAAGAGACACTGGTCCTCATGCATCGCTCTCTCCCCCACCCCGCCAGCCCTGCTCTGAAGCCCTGAAAAGCAGGGTGGGCATTCTTAGTTGCCCTTCAATTGAATTTGGTCTCTTGGCAAACCTTGTTTCGTGTCTGTGCTGACCTTTTCTCTGGGTTTCTGGGGAGTGTTTGTTAAGAAGGTCTTGAGATGGATGCTTTTATTTTGGGAACGGAATTATAGGGGGTAATGAAGTCTGTGCCTTCCAGGGTGACGAGAAGGGCAGAGGGCTGTGCTCCACCCCTTGGGCTGTAGCAAAGGACTAAAGGCCTTCTGCTCCCACAGCACTTCCCTGGTGACGGATGGGTAGATGGGCCATGCAAATGTCAGGACCCAGCAGCTCCCTTATATCCTCAGCTAAAGGAATGGGTTGCAGGAGCCATGCCGGTGCTGGAGGACTTGGGCACAGAGTCTTGAGGGTGTACATTTGCAAGGCTGGGGCAGCTGCAGTGACACCCTGCCACTTGCATCCATGACCACCACAGAAAGGACCAGGCTTCTGTGCAGGTTATAAAATGGGGGGAGGGGTGAATCCTGCCCTTAGACACAATATGTGGAGAAAAGCAGGCACACAATTCTAGAACTTGCACATCCTATGTCTTAGTTAAAGTTACTATTGCTAAAAGGAAACATCATGACCAAAAGCAAGTTGAGTAGGAAAGAGTTTATTCTACTTGCACTTGTTCATCACTGAAAGAAGTCAGGACAGGAACTCAGACAGGGCAAGACCCTGGAGGCAGGAGCTGAGGCAGAAGCCATAGAAGGGAGCTGCTTCCTGGCTTGCTCTCATGGTTTGTTCTGCCTGCTTTCTTATAGAACCCAGAACCAGGAGCCCAGCTGGGCCCTCCCCATCAGTCACTAATTAACAAAATGCTGCACAGCAGGATCTTATGGAGACATCTTCTCAAGGGGGGCTACATCCTTCCAGATGATCCTAGCTTGGTGTGGAGGTGATGTTCGATTTAGTCAGACTTGAAGAGGATACCTTTAAAATCAGTTAGAGGAAATTGATTTCTGATGGGAGTTGTTGTTCTGTGTATATGTTTCTCTTATTGGTTGATGAATAAAACACTGTGGCCAATAGAAGCAGAAAGATAGGTGGGACTAAGAGAAGAGGAGAATTCTGGGAAGTGTAGGCAGAAAGCAGACGCTGTGTGAGACCAGGAAGGTAGGACAAGCCAAACCCTTCTCAGGTAAGATAAGACCACGTAGAAACACTTAGATTAATAGAAACGGATTAATAATTAAGACAGAGTTAGCCAATAAGAAGCCTTAGTCATTGGCCAACAATTTTGTAATTAAGTCTTTATGTGTTTATTTGGGGGCTTAAGGGAAGTGGGGACAGAAAGCTCCCATTACAGATTTCCTCCCCTGTGTTAGGAAGGGGTGGAAGGATCGAGGGGGACAGGAAGCAGGAGGACTCTCCTGCCTCCCCTCCCTGAATCAAGAGGAGATGGGCTTCGTACCCTCCAGGCTGCTACACCATTGAGTACTCACTCCTGAGCACTACGAGGCCCCTGGGGGTGTTAAGCTAGAAACCTGGTCCCTCACATGTCACTGAACAGTAGTCCAGCCCTATCAGAATTTACCTGTTCAAGACTAGTGTGCCCTGCTGGTTGGCACTGGTGATAAAAGATAGTGAGTCCCCTAAAAGCTGGTGAGCCGTAAACATGCCCTGTAAGAACCGTGTCTTCATGAGTGAAATCACATGGCCACAGAATCTGTAGATTCTGCCCAAATGTGCAAAGAGGAGGGTTCACTGGGTACTAGAAGAGGAAGCATCCGAGTGTTCCCTGCCCGATTCAGCCTCTGGGGGCTCCCACGGTCCAGAGTGAGAGAAGTGGAGAACACAAAGCATCACGTTCTTCTCCTTCTACCAGGAGGCTCGCCAAGTCCACACTGCTGCTGATCCCACTGTTCGGTGTCCACTACATGGTGTTTGCCGCCTTCCCCATTGGTATCTCCTCCACATACCAGATCCTGTTTGAGCTGTGCGTCGGTTCCTTCCAGGTAAGTGTGGGAGGCACTGTGGGCACTGCAAACCGTGGGGCGGTCCTGATGCTCTGTCTCTTTGCAGGGCCTGGTGGTGGCGGTGCTGTACTGCTTCCTGAACAACGAGGTGAGTCCTTCCTCAATTGGAACTGAGAGCTGACATCGGCTGGGGAACTGGCCCCATCGCCTACCTCTGCCCAGCTGTGCCCCCGCACAACCAAGGCCCAGCCTGCTGTCCCCAAAGCCCCACTTGGGAAGGCTTCCACCCCTCCCCGCAAAACTTAGCCTCTGCCTTCCACCAATGTCCCCTTCCATAATCAGCATCTTATTCTTCAACCCACAACTGAGTCCCAGAAGTCGTGGTGTTGGGGGGAAGGGCTGGGCCTCATCGAGAGATGCATCACTTTGTCCCAAGACAAAGTGGCCCGGCGCTTCTTATGTGACCGCTCCCTGCCATTCACCCTCTGGTCCCCAGAATCCACCCACCCTGGGTATTGCTGACTGTTCCTGTGTGTGACCTCACTTATGACCAATCAGCCCTTCTTCTACTCACTAAGTCTACTCACTAAGGAAGGTTTTACAGAGCCGGCATCCATCCTTCTAGCACTTTCTTCAGAGTCCTTAAAAGGGGAAAGACGTTGATGAAGGTCCTATCGGAGCCATGGGGCCATGCTACATCAGACTCCCCAGCGCCCCTAAGTCTATACCCTTCTTCTCTGTGCACCCCCGCCCCCACACTTCCGGTCCCATGCTGTATCAGTATAGCCTCCTGCTATCCATACTCACCGAAGCTGGGCCCGCCTCCTACAGCTCTCTCTTCCGCCTGCCCCTCCTCGCTCACCCAACGCCTTCCTGAGTGGGGAGGGAGCAGGGCACCCATCATATGCCTACTAGAGAAGCGTTCAAACACCAAACCAGCGGTTTGCTGTCTAGTGGGTGAATCCGTGCTGCTTGTCTCTTGAGAGGATACTTGCCTTCCTGCACCCCAAGCTGACCCATCCTTCATTAACACCCTCGTCCCCAGGTACAGTGTGAACTGAAGAGAAGGTGGCGAGGCCTGTGCCTGACCCAACCTGGGAGCCGGGACTACCGGTTACATAGCTGGTCCATGTCCCGGAATGGCTCAGAAAGTGCCCTACAGATACACCGCGGCTCCCGCACCCAGTCCTTCCTGCAGACAGAGACCTCGGTCATTTAGCAGGGTGCCTGCCTCGCAATGGAACCGACTGCGCTGCTGGGTTTGACACATGTGTTTGCTGGCTTCCTCAGCTGCCCCAGCGTCTGATACCGCGTCATTTGGGTCAGCCCTGGTCCTTACTCTGATCCTCGCGTGTAACCTGATCGGAACACTGATTATTATGGTCAAACTCCAGCCTTTAAGGTGTCCTCTTCATAACATGGCTTGGCCACATAGGTAGGTCTACTTTCCAAGACAGCAAGAAAGCCAGGTGGCCCTGGACATCAAAACTGGAGTGTGGTACCTCTGAAGAAGACAAGGAGGACGTTTCTGGCTCCCTGCCTCCTGTCAGGGGGAACCAGGTCCAGGACCAGCTGAGCATCATTGCACACCTGTGGATGTCTGTGAAATTCCTCCTCAGTCTATGACAGACCAGGGAAAACAGCTGACAGCAGCCATCTCATCTTAGAAGCTTCCTGGTCCCCATGGTCTTGAGTCCTGTCCTGTGGGATGAGCCTCTGCATCTGGACAGCCACAGCCTTGCCACTCCCTGGACCATTTGGTAGTGACCAAAGACAAGTCAAGGACAATGTTCATGGTTCAGTGGCCAAGCCAGGAGCTCACATCCTCCTGGTCGCTTAGCATCTGCCGCTTCCTAGGAGTGGAGAGCAGCTCTGGGTTCCAGGCTGGCCCATCAAGATGAAGGCCCTGGTGACTTGCCCATACAGCCCAGGGGTGTTCTCTGGGCAACAGAAAAATGTACTCTTTTTTTTGGGGGGGGACATCCCCTTAAAATTGTTTAAAGAGAGACATATTTTATCAAAATATAAGATGGCATCAAGTACTCCTACCAAGTATTTGCCAAAAAATAATCCTTACTGTTCCTATTATTTGCAGCTGTGGACAGGCAGGGCCTGGGGACATGACATGATGAAGAAGCAGCTGGAGAGTGAGAATGTCTGTCCCTGCTGTGCCCAGAAACCCTGGGACCATGCCCTAGCCCAGTGCAAGGGCTGTAGTTTCGGACCTGGTGTTCTGGCACAGTCTATGTAACCCCCCCCCCACACACACACACACACACACACACACACACACACACACACACACACACACACACACACACACGCACCAAGGACAAGAGCTGCAAAGTGTTTTTCCTGTGATTTCTGTGGCATGTAGACCCCAGCCAACATGAATGCCAATGATCTCAACAGCTGTGTCAGAGCCAGAGGTCTCAGGGTCAGGAAACCACAAAAGTATGGCCCCAGCTCCCGGTTCTCTAGAAATAAAACCAATACTTGGTGACTTCAGGACAGCAGAGAAGTGAGTATCTAGAGAGTGGCAGAGGCTCAGTGGACAGACTTTCTGGCCTGAATGTCTGTCCCACAGGACTGCCCCTGGAGTTTTGATTCCATCGGCTCTTAGCAAGCCCCCACTTTGACTGATGCTGTGCTTGGATGGACAGCTGAGATAATGTGGAAAACGCCACTCACCTGCTACCTCCCAGAGCTATAAGGTAGAGAGCAGGTCAGGCACCCCAAAAAGGACCCCTGGCAGTGGCAGTGGGTGGGTGTTACCAGCCCTGGTGTGAGCCTTGCTTCTCTTCATCCAGAGTCATCACCGCTTAATACAGCAGTTCTAAGGAAAACAAAGTTGTTGGGTTTTTTTCATATCTGAAAGTGTCCTAACAACAACCAGGTATGGTCACCCTGCCATGACCCCGAAGAGACACGTAGGACCTGTGAGAACACAAGCAGCTGTCATCCAATCAACAGTCACTGGTCGCACATGGAGTATTCTGACGCAGCGACACCATCACCTCAGCCCAGCACGTGCTAACACTAGGCAGGACTGGGGCCTAGGTCTTCTCCCTGGTGAAGAGATGGGCAGCTGGTCAGAGACTGGCCACAGCTGGAACTGACCAGTAGCAGAGGTGTAGTAACCACAAGGCCCAGCACGTGATCTTCCGTGTTATCTGTGGAATGTCTACCAAGGGCACCGCAGGGTGGAACTGATCTGTATATAGACTGCAATAAACCTAATTCCATTCTGCATGAGGGTTTGCTATGAACGATGGTGAGGGCCTAGAACACAGCTGTGTGTGCTGCTACACTCCTTGAGTGTACACCCTGACTCTCCAGACCATCGTGCCTACAATCGCTCGTGTAAGAGGTGGCTCTGAGGTCGCCAGGATGCCAAAGTGGCAGCCATGAGGATGTTCCCAGCATGCCTGGCTATTCCTAGTCCTAATCTCCTCCCTCAGCGCTATAGAACCTGAGCCCTGTCAACAGATCAGGCTGTGTGTGTGTGTGTGTGTGTGTGTGTGTGTGTGTGTGTGAGTGTGTTCGAGAGTGTGTGGTGTGTGTGTGAGTGTGTGTAGTGTGTGCGTGTGAGTGTATATGTGTGTGTGTATGAGTGTGTGTGTGTGTGTGTGTGAATGTGTGGTGTGTGTGTTTGAGTGTGTGAGAGTGTGTGTGTGTGTGTGAGAGAGAGTGTGTGTGGTGTATATGTGTGTGGTGTGTGTGTGAGTGTGTGTGAGTGTGTGTGTGTGAGAGAGTGTGTGGTGTGTGTGTGAATGTGTGTAGTGTGTGCGTGTGAGAGTATATGTGTGAGTGTGTGTGTGTGAGAGAGTGTGTGGTGTGTGTGTGAATGTGTGTAGTGTGTGCGTGTGAGAGTATATGTGTGAGTGTGTGTGAGTGTGTGTGAGTGTGTGTGTGAATGTGTGTTGTGTGTGTGAGTGTGTGTGAGTGTGTGTTGTGTGTGTGTGTGAGTGTGTGAGAGTGTGTGTAGTATGTGTGTGAGAGTATATGTGTGAGTGTGTGTGAGTGTGTATGTGTGAGTGTGTGTGTGTGTGAGTGTGTGTGTGAATGTGTGTTGTGTGTGTGAGTGTGTGTGAGTGTGTGAGAGAGTGTGTGTGTGTGGTGTGTGTGTGTGGTGTGTGTGTTTGAGTGTGTGAGTGTGTGTGTGAGTGTGAGAGTTTGTGTGTGTGAGAGAGAGTGTGTGAGAGAGAGTGTGTGAGTGTGTGAGAGTGTGTGTGTGAGTGTATGGTGTGTGTGTGTGTGTTTGGTGTGTGTGTTAGTTGTGCACACAGTTATATGTGTGCTTAGTGTACTTAAAGCACATGTTGTCTGCACAAGTGTGCATGCTCACTTGTAGGTGGTTGTTCATGAACATATGTAGGGGTCACATATGTGTGCTTGTGCGTGTATGTATATGTCTGTGCACGTGTGTGTTTATGTAATCTGTCCCTTAGCCCACTACGCAGATGAAATGTTTCAGTGGCACACTCACTGCACTGTGGCTGTGTAGTCACGAACATTGTTCGCTGCTATCAAATCCTCAAGAGCATGAACATAGAAGTGATCCAGGCAGCTTCTGGGGGAATTTGCTCAGAGGAAGCGCAGGAAGAGGGCAGAGTGCTCTGTGAGGCCCTCTAGGATCACAGCTGTCCTGTCCGATTAAGGATGCTTGGGATGAGGTGCTCACAGCAGGGCAGCTCTGTGGATAGGCCCAAGGGAGTCAGCCCACTGGGACAGCTGGGAACCACAGCCAGAAGAAGCTTTGCCATCTGTGAGAATACACACACTTTCCTTTCTCGCTGGATACCGGCCATTTGTAATCAGCTGCTTCAGACAATAGGAACTTTACAACAGAGATGAGGAGCTTCAGATTCGTGGGCAATGGCCATGCAAAAACTGATACGCTCTGAGACTGGCCTCTGACCCCAGAGGTAGCCACTGGGAACTAGACGCTGGTCCCAGCCTTTCTATGTCTCAAGACAATTCCTCCCTCCTTCCCCCTCTTTACTAAGGGAAATCAAGTCAAGCTGCATACAGGTTCTTAGCCAGCCAGCGTTGTCCAGGCAAGCTAGAGTAAAGGCCTTCCCCTTGTGAACATAGGGAACTTTTAGTTTTACTTTTTCAGGTCCAAGTCTCATCATGTACACCAGGTTGGTTTTCAAGTGTCCATTCTCCTGCCTCAGCCTCCAGAGTATCTGGGATCAGAGGTGTGCCCTCCACTGCCTGGCTCAGAGCTACAATGTTCTCAACAACTGTGTTTAAGTTTACCTGAGTATTTGCCCACAGTGAGCTACACGTGGAACATACAACAGAGGGCGCTCATCCTTTGGCAGGCTTGGGCCCAGGGCCTGAAGCCTGGAGTCTGGGACCTGG